GGCAGTTTTTCATATTTTTCTTTTAATTTTGCTCTCTCTCTTATTCTATGATGCGATTATACGTATATTGTTAACTAATTAAAATGTGTATCGTGTAGATCATATTTATTTTATTTGTGCATTCATAGATGCTAATAATTATGTCATTACTGGAGGTCAATTAGATTGTTGCTGGTATTCAAGCTTTTACTGGTAAGTAATTAAGTCATAGTTGTGCTATTGTATTTCTTTTTTCTATTAAGTTGTTGCTAGAGTATTGAGTCAACATCACATTAGTACTAGTGATTAGATTATTGTTTGTAAGTTATTAGGGTGTAACTGGTACTGTTATATTTTATTTTTGTTCTTTTATCAGATCGTTTGTTAAATTGCTATTGTTGATTAGTCACCATTGGAGCCGTCAAGTAGGTTATTGGTACTGATTAGGTGAGTGATTAAGTTGTAGTTGATGCTATTGTATTTTGTTTCTTTATTAGATCACTGACCAAGTTTCTATTTAGTAGCCATTGAAGCGTCATCATTGGTATTGGTGATTAGATTGTGATTAGATTGTTGTAGGTACTGGTGGTTAGGTTTTGATGACTATATTGTTGCTGGTATAGGTTATAAGATCTTGTTGATTATGCTGTTATTGGTACTGTTTTGGCATTATTTATTCAATTGTCGCTTGCAGGTTGTTACTTAGAATTGTTGTCAGAGTTGTTGCCTGGATAGTTTTAGTTTGTGTTGGAGCTATTGTCTTTAAGAATATTATTGTGTAATATTTTTTTGTTTTTTTTTTTTAATTCAAGTTAACAGATCAAAAATCAGAAATACTATTACTATGCTAACTTTATAAGAAAGTGTAAATAAAGTCAGATAAGTATAATGAATTAGCTTTCTAATTTAGAATCGCAATAGAATACTAATGATATCTTTATTGTCAAGGCCAAGTATAAAAATACGCATTCGACAAGAAGAATGGTAGCCATCTCTGCTAGAAGAAAGACTCAGATGATTCTTAATGCAGATCATAAAACTTGATGTACAGGAGATTATCAATAATAATACGGAATTTGTATTTATTACTGTATTAATGATATCAGATATAATAAATTTTAGTTCAAGTTTCACATGTTTAACTATACTTGATCTTTTTTGTTTTATATATGAATCGACTTTTTTTTTTAATTCGCTACTAGATGTTAGACCCATCATTAAATAATATATTATTTTTAATCAAGTTTACGATATATAATTTATTATAGTAGAGCTTATATCCATTATCATTTTATATTAAATTTAATAAATATCTGATAGATTTTACTATTAAATTTAGTATCCAAATAACAACAGATCCAAGCAGTATCCAAGCTTTATATTGTGTTAATGGGCAATTTGCAGATTTATCTAATATTCTGTGAGATAGAGGTGAATAATCTACTTCTTCAAATATCCATGGTATGATACTTGTAATGTAAAAAGTAAACTAGTAATATCGAATAAAGATAATAGTCATAAGAGTTTTAGCCAATCATCAGTATAATATGAAAATAAAATATTTGAATATTAACAGTAAATATTAAATAAACATTCTAGCAACTTTTTATGATTAATGTTAAATCATCATTCTAATAGTTCTTTATGATTAGTATTAAAAATAATTATTATAATGGCTCTTTATAGTTAGTGATAAATTATCATTTTAAAAACTTCTTATGATCATGTTAAATAATCATCTTAACAGCTTCTCTTTAAGATAAGCACTTAGTTTTTAGATTGTGATAGTTGGGATATAGCTCATGATTTGTAAATTTAGAAACCTTCACGCTATAATGAGCTTCTAAATATATGTTTCAAAATTCTTTGCATAAGGTAGAATCAATTTAGAAGTGCAAATTTATTATAATTATATTATATAAAATATTTTGGCAGGTTTCTGGGTTATAACTTTAGTACTCATGTTTTTAAATTAAAAAATTTAAAATTTTTAAATAAAAATCTGGATTGGCAAATTAAAATACAAATTATATATTATACTGTATTTAATCATTACATCAATCTTGTGTAATTATATAAATTATTTCTTCTTTTTTAAAAAAATCATAACAAGTTTTTGCTTTACCTAATAATTGAAGAATATTATCAAAAATTTGTATATCCTGTATATCTAAATGATAAAGAATATTTTTTAGATATTGGTGTGTAATTAAAAAATGATTCTCTTCTATTTCAGCTAAAAAAATATTATGAATAAGAGTAAAAACTTTAAGAGTTAAATATGATATATTTTCAATATCAGTAATTGGTCCCTGATTATAAGAATGATATCCATATGCTTCATAAAAACTAGAAATTACTTGTCCAATACAAAGTTGTGCTCCATAATAAACTATAACATAATCTTGTTCATTAAGAGGATTATCAAAATTAATATTCACATCTTCTATATTTTTAACTATAATATAATTAAATTAAAAAAAATTATAAATTTATTATCATGTCTTAGCTGATAACTTCTGGATAATACTAGTATAATACCATTATTAGACAAATTAGTAAATATAGTAATCTGATACTCTGCGGCATGTGATTATTTGTCAAATTACTGTAATAAAACAATTTTTAATTTAAACTTACTTAAATTTTGATTATTAGATAAATTTTTTGGTCGTTTATTTAATTGTTCCTTTTTGTAAAAGTTGGTGATAGATTGATTTATTAATCTTCGACCAGTTTTTCATCTTTTTTCTTGCTGTTTAATAAATCGCATGTCGGCATTTTTATTTTTTGTAAAAAATAAAACAATACGATTTGCTTGATTAGGATTAATCAAAGTTGAATTAATTATTCTTGTATTAGTTGTTTTGATTGTCCATTCAATATTATGAGAAGTATAAGCATTATGTTTTTCGCGTTGATAAATCATTTCTTGAAAATTAATTTTATTTTTTAGTAGTAAACATTATATTATTAAAATCTTAAATTAAAAAAAATTATTAGATTTTTCTAAAAAGAATATTTTAAATTATTATAATAAAATATAATAACCTGTGCTAACTGTATTATTTGAAGTTTCTATTTTAACAATATCAATAAATGAAAGTTGTTTTTTGCATTCATTTAAAGATAAGTCTATATTTTTTTTATTTATATCTATTTCATTTCTTTTGTTTTCTCTTTGTCTTAAAAGATCTACATCTTTAGCAGCATGGCTAATTATTTGAGAAAGGCCACAATTAGATAAATTTTTATTTAAATTCTCATTATCTTGCATATTTTCATTATTTGAATCAGAATTTTTTATATTATTAGATATGATTAAAACATATGGCCGAAGTGAATTAATAAGTATAATATCTGATATTAATATTTCCAAATATTTGGCAGCTATTTAATGTGATTGATCAAAGATATTCTGAATTTGGTTATCATTCAGCTAGATTCGTAATAGATTGATTTGATCATTTTCAATAAACTTTTGATTATATTCAAACTAATACCCTAAAATTAAATAATTTTTTTAAATATATAATAATATATACCTTATCAGGTAAAATTGATAAATAATAGTAATTTGACAAATGAACACATGCTGCAGTATAGCACATATAGCCTCAATTACTGTATTTACCAATTTGCTCAATAATGGTGTTATCTAGCAATTTATGATCATGATTCGTAGAGAATACGTTTATATTATAACACATTAGTGTTTTGAACCATCAACTAAAAGTTCAACCAGGGCTGATCCAGGTAGACTTCCAGATATTCCCAGCCAATCGCTAATGTTTGTTTACATCAGGTAAAATAGAATTGATGCATCCTATTTTACTTAATATAAACAAACATCAGCGATTAGCTGGGAATACCTGGAAGTCTACCCAGATCGGCCCCAGTTGAACTTTCGGTTAACGGTTTAAAACACTATAACACATGAAGAAATAATTTTATGATAGGAAATGCCACCAACATAGCAACATGTAATCTAATTCTACCATACTTTAATACTAACTCTAGCTCTAATACTGGCCATGCTGTGTCGATAAGGTTAATGCTGGTCATTGCTGTGTTAATAATGCTATGTTGATAGCAATTCTCTTTTATAATTATATAAATTTGTCAGATAATATAAATTATAATATAAAAAAAATTAATTTATTTACCTTCACGAACAGATTTATCTTTATTAAAAGATATTTCTTTTAAGTTTAATACTTTAGTATAATGATCTATTTTTGGTACTATTTCTAATAGTTCTGCAAAGTCAAAATCAGCATTGACTTGCCATGCTGCACCAAAAAAATGCTTGCATACTTCTGAACCATATAACTAAGAAATAAAAGGAGATTGATTATAGAAATCTCTATAAGCTTTTACAAGTAAAATCATTGATTTGGCTAATGAAATAAGTATTGCATATGTTTGAGGTGCAATAAAGTTCTGGTTGCAAGAAATAAATTCTGGGTATTTTTGTACTAATGTATTTATATGAAATCACCAAATTTGTAAAAAAAAATAAGATATCATCACCATTCTTATTCATTCAATAGGAGTAATATTTCGATTCAAATAACTATTAATCAATTTATCTATATCAATAAAAAGTAATTAATTTCAATTAATATTTTTTATTATAAAATTTTTAAAACATGCCAATTCATTTTTTATAATCACAACTCTTTCTGACGATTCCTTGCACCAAAAATTCCACTAATACTGACCTATGAATATTGTGTAGTTAGTATGTTTTTTCATAACAAAACTTTGCCAAAT